AATTTGACTGAACCGCACTGGCAACGTTCGTTATCAGACCCTATCAGCTGATATCCCTCACGTGCCGTGTCCCCATCTCCAACTCTATATCATTTTCTGGAATTAGTGCCTAGCTGATGCTGTATTCCGCTTTATGAGTATGGTTACCTTACCATTCTAACTCCCCTTATCAAATCCTATCTGCTGCTATCATTCTCTGTCACATATCAATAATGTTCCTGTCTTACGTCCTATATCATACCTTGGAACCAATGTCCCACTGTTACTGTGTCCCGCACTATGGGCTCGGTCACCCTCCCCTTCTAAGGCCCCTTATCGAATCTTATCAGGTGCTATCACATTCTATCACCCACCAAAAGTGTTCCCGTCCTGCCATGTATATCACTTCTTGGAACTGTCGTCCTATCTTTTCTGCGACGCTCGCTATGAATTTCGTGACAGACAGACAGACACACACACACACACACACACACTTACAGACATACTTAGCGGATTATGTATAGTAGGATACTATTAGTATTCGTAAGAGACATAGCGTTTCAGCCATATACGTGGCAGCTGGACCCGCGCGGTTGTAGTCTTTTTAATCAGAAGCACAAAAGAGAGGCTGTCGAAAATGCTCATCGTCGACCTGACACTCCACTTTAAGCACTTAAATATTGGTGGAAAGAGAATTTCGAGGAAAATTAAAAAAACTATCGTGTAGGGCAAGAAATCCTTCGCAAAACGGAGTGAAAGTCAGTAACAAAACTTTTCTTCTCAAAACAATATTTCGAGTGAGAAGAAAACGCCTCTACTTATGGGGCGACCGAATACAACGTGAAAAACCTGAATCACATAAAACAATCAATGGCTAGAAGCATGCTAAAATGAATTAAGATGAAACATTCAAATTAATTTCGGGTGGTAGTGTTAGTAAAAAACCTTGGCATTTTTCTACAACGTTTCAAAGTTCAGATCATTTTGGATACCTCCCGAATGATCTGAACTTTGAAACACAATGTGGTGAAAACAAAGAAATTTCCTCAATACATGTCCTTTTTCCCCATTTAAATTGTAATTCCATGTTGTGTACGTCTGCATTTACAGTTGCTCCTAGTGGTTAAGCGTGTTCTTGACATTTTAAATTTATCAAACATCTTCTTTTCTGACATTTCCTACGTTTACTTTTATTTTGCCTTCTACTTTCCATGTTAAGTTTGGCTCAGTCGTGTCTGTCAACGAGAGGTCAGGAGTTAGCGAGAGAGCAATTAAGTCAGGCAACCCCACAGGCAAGTCTCCCGGTGTGAAGTGATATCTTTCAAGAAAGTCGTACACTCGACAGCTAGTACCTCTTATCGCGCCACACTGTAGCAGCGGTCGGTCACCCATCTATCTCCCCATACTCTACCAGCTGTTTGCTACCGTCCTATCGCGCCATACTCTTCTCTCCCGGACGCTGGCACCGCTGATAGACGCTATCGATATCTATGCTTTCCCAGTCGCTGGCGCTGCCGACGCTTGACTTCCAGTCTTTCCTACTCGGGGAATGCCTCAGCGCTCGCGTCCTGCTGTGCCAAAGGTGCACTACCAAATACTGCGAAAGCGCCAAAGATTTTCCAGTGTCGCGTGGGAGGATCGAAATGAACAGCCATGCGACGGCAGGTATGTAGATCATCCCGGGCTGAAGGGAGCTTACTTGAAACTGAATTCTAGAGAGAAGTCTATACTGTACCGGTGAGGTGGGTGAGGGGTGTGCACATATAGTTTGGGATGACCTTATAATTACTTTTTCGCACCTCGGCATACTTGCCAGTGGGATACCCCCAGATTAATTGCTTGCACGCTGACTGGTGACCTCTCACTGCCAGGCCCACACAAGATAGAATAACGAGATATGGAATGTTTGCAATAAGAATAACGAGATATGGAATGTTTGCAATACTTTATACTTTGTTTATTAAAATATCATTACATAAGCAAAGGTGGCAATAAATTGTAATACAAACACTACCAAAACATGGAAATACAAGCATTCCAGAATCCCGAGGAAAGGAAACTACATGGGCTTGTTAGTGACATACCGCGACATTTTCTTGCAGTACTCCTCAATTTGGTCCTCATTCGGCCCACTGCAGTAACATGTTTCGAATCTGAACAAGATTGTGTTGCGGGTTCGTTATGACTGGAAGAAAGATACCTACCTTCTCATTTCTTCAGCGATTTTCATCCTTCTTTCACTGTCGCGCCTACTCAAAACCCTCGCGTTGTCTGGAACCTGAAATAAAAATAAATGCGACTTGATAGTAAGAAACGGCTTGATTCCAAGTGATGAAAATGCAACCTCCTGGAGGCGCTGAAGAGCTGCTCTTGCTTCGTAGTTCAGCTTTCGTAGCGCCTCTATAAGCACACTAAGAGGGGGATGGTCGGCATATATCAAGTCCCCAAGCCGCCTGTGAGCCAACAATTTTTACATACGATAAATGGTTGAGTGAACGGTTCTTCATTTTACAACCTATGGAAGGCCTCTGCCGAAT